TATATATATGTATATATATACACACATTTTATACATATTTTATATTTTATAAATATACACATATTCCATTTATACTTATATTCCATTTATACAAAAATATATGAATGGAGAATAATTTTTATTGAAATTGATTTATTTATGAAGCTGGATTAAAATTAATTTATTCTTATATATATATATATTTTTTTATTTTTTTTTTATTTTTTTTTATTTTTTATCGCATACCTCTCACTAATTTAAATAGCAGGCAGCATTACTGGAAGTATTTACATATAATTACTTGTAATTACATAAAAATGATGATGCCACTAACTATATATATATATTTTTTAACTTTTTGTATTTATTTTCATTTTATATAAATGTGTGTGTGTGTGTGTATGTATATGTGTATATATATATATATATATATATACATACACACACACACACAAAATATATGTATATATACAGTACATAGTGTGTATATATATATATATATATACATATATATATATATTTTTTTTTGTGTGTGTGTGTATTGACTATGTAGCTTGACAAAATGTATTTAGTGTTCATTTAATGTGATCAGTAGCTGTTTTTTATTAATGTGATCAGTAACAGTATTTCTGTTTTTTATTATGTATGTTCATTTGATAATTTATAATGTGACGACATTATCATGTAACTAAGTACTTTTTCACAGTTACAGTTCCAAAGCTGCTGTAAGCAGTATACACTACATACTGTGCAGTAAGCAGTACACTACTATTGCATTTGAAGCACAGCCAGAATCTTCAGCTGTTTATGATTGTATGACCTCATTTATATTCATAAGTCATGCTTTTTTCTCAACACAAGCTGCTGAAACAAAGAAAAAAAGCATTTACAAATGTAGCTAAGGCAGAGTTTAATTAGGGTCAAATAATATTAATTGCAAGAACATATGGGTGAGAATGACGTGTTATTTGATCTCAGGAGGAGAATGCAGAATCCACAGCACCGTGTGAAGATAAAGCGGACATCAGCAGTGTAAATGAGGAGGAAGATAACCACGCTGATGAAGAGGAGAACGATACGAAAGAGGAGGCCGAAGAGTGCATCCCGACAGCGCAGAGTCCCATCACTGAGAGTGTGAAGGAGGAACCGTGTGAGGAACCCGATAACAAAGATCTGTCAGGGTAGGTGCAGCCTAAACCCTCCTCACTTCCTGTCTGAGTGTCAATGCTTCCTGTCTGAGCGTCAGTGCATGTGGATCTCTGAAGTAGGGCTGTCAAAAAAAAAAATCGAATTTCGATTATTCGTCGAATTTAAAATCAAAATCCACATGCTTTTTGCATTCGAATTTTAGGTGTTCGTCAGGCTGCAGTATCAGTGGAGCACGAGATGCGATGACGATGTAAGTGTCGTTGCATTTGAATGTTTTTCATAGCTTATCCAGTTGAACCCACTAGATGCGGCGGTGATACGTTGTTCATTCAAAATATTGCGGAAAAAGAACATCAGGCGAAGATGTTGTTTACATCTAAACTGAAACCAAGCCGTTCACACGGAACTCATATTTATCGCATTTTCTAGAGGGACATCTATCAACATTACACTCGCGTCTCGCACAAAAGAGACGCATGTTTAGAAAGCCATGTAAAATTAATGCAAGTTCAACTTTTTTTAAAAATGTCTCTTGACTTTATGGCGGTTTTCCCCATCCCACTGCATCTCATGTTTTTAAATGAAAAAGTACTCTTTGTGATTGATTTTCGGTCCTTTGTATTAAACTATACATACATGCATGATTCTGTTTTGTTAATTGTTTAAGCAACTTACGTAAATGAGGAGGAAGATAACCACGCTGATGAAGAGGAGAACGATACGAAAGAGGAGGCCGAAGAGTGCATCCCGACAGCGCAGAGTCCCATCACTGAGAGCGTGAAGGAGGAACCGTGTGAGGAACCCGATAACAAAGATCTGTCAGGGTAGGTGCAGCCTAAACCCTCCTCACTTCCTGTCTGAGCGTCAATGCTTCCTGTCTGAGCGTCAGTGCATGTGGATCTCTGAAGTAGGGCTGTCAAAAAAAAAAATCGAATTTCGATTATTCGTCGAAATTCGACAATTTAAACAAATTTCCGAAAATCTTAGAATCGATCCACGAATCGCGATGCATTGATTTATTGTCCCAGCCCTAGTTGATGTAGGCACGAATTGCTGTGTTTGTATTATGTATTGCAGTGGTTCATAATTCAAATATCCAGGGAGTGTCGCTAAAAGTTAATGCTGTATCGTGTTGGAAATATCCCCTACACCAAACCCAACCCTAAACCTACCCGATAGTGTTAGCAAAAGTGATATAAAAAAATGCATTTGTTGATGCAGCTCTGCTATTTTAACTTCCTTATGCGGATTTGAGCTGTTTTGTTGAACCGTATTTTCACGGGGGTTCGTGCCAAAGCTCTTCATCACTCAAGTGCAACACAGAGTTAGAAAACTCATGCATATGAAGCTGGATGTGGGACGCTAACCTTCAAATGCATCAGTTGTTTTGAATTCGTAACATAATATTCCTCAAGTAATTATGCGAAAATTAGGCTTTATTAATCGAATCTGGGGATCTGCAAATCATACTTTGTTTGAAAAGGAATAAAAGTTGTGGGAGTTTTGCTGCCTCTAGTGTTCATTTCAACTGGAAACTGCAAGCGATTCGTAATGTATAAGTTCGTTTTTTGAGTTTTGCAGAAATGTAGGTAGAGCCTATGTTGGAGATTTTGGTAGTGCAGAAAAAACAGATGAGAGGAAGAAGAGGGACGAAGAGTCAAGTCACCTTTATTTCCATAACGCTTTTATACAATGCAGATCGTTTCGAAGTGGCTTCTCTGAAATAAACAGGAAAATAACAGAATCAGTGATGCAAAGTACTTCAAATATGAGACAAATTCAGATTCTGCTGTAAAGAAGCGCTGAAAACAATATTCAGCTCAATAACTGTAAAGTTCATCAATTATGAAACAAGTTCAATTTAGCTATAAGCAGCTCTACAGAAGACACAACTAAGGAAGATTGAGTGAGAAATGTACAAAAAAGTGAGAGCTGCTCTTAAACTTTGTTCAGGCAGTATTTGTGACTCAAAAGTTGTTGTTAGGGATGGAATGATTACATCGATCGATCATGAAAGCACTTTAAAAATTGTGACCTCAGTTTTTGTGGAAATATTTCACTGATTTTATTCGTGGATGTTCTCTGGCGTGAGCAGGACGGATGAGACGTTGAAGCCAAGCATGATGGCCTTTATGAAACTGCATGTTGGCTGAAGCATTTGCTCTTTTTAGCTTGCTCTCTCTCTCTACACCTTTTTTTTCCAACGGCAGGTTGTTTTACCTTGAAAATGTATCAACCGAAAAAACCCTCAGTTTTTATTTTCCGTTGTGCTGGACAATTTATTTGTCCTCTGTCTGTTTGAAATTGTTATTTAAATGATCTGTATCATGTGACTCAATTCCTGTGAATTTTCTGTAACTTTTGTTATATAATATAACATATTACAGCCACTATATCACAGCCAGCTTGTGATGGAATACAGACAGTAATTAAATTTAATCAGATTTAATTTCTTTACAATAAGATTCAAAACATGGTAGACAAGGCTTTTACAAGCTTTATAAAGAAGTGTCTTCTGCTCACCAAGGCTGCGTTTATGTGATCAAAAATACAGTAAAAATTGTGAAATATTACTACAATTAAAAAAACTGTTTTGTGATTTAATATATTTTAAAGGGGTCATATGATGTTGCTAAAAAGTATTAATTTGTCTTATTTTGTGTATTTGGTGTAATGAAATACGGTTTAAGGTTAAAAAAACACATTATTTTCCACATACTGTACATTATTGTTTCTCCTCTATGCCCCGCCTTTCTGAAACGCATCGATTTTTACAAAGCTCATCGGTCTGAAAAGCGAGGTGTGCTGTGATTGGGCAGCTATCCAGTGCGTTGTGATTGGCCGAATACCTCAAGCTTGTGACGGAAATGTTACGCCCCTCACCATACTGTGATGCCCTGTCCGGCCGGAGCGACGAGACAAAAACATTAAAACCCATTACAAACGAGGCATTTGTTGCATCCAGTGGGGACATAATTACGGATTATAATGACTTATACTGTCTTTTTACGCGTTGCGTTGCATTGCGCCGCGTAAACATAAAACCATGTCTGCATTTGTGATCGGAGAAATGACAAACAACAAGCGCTACTCTACACTGCTCAAAACTCACGTTTGAATCAGCAGTGGCAAATTCTTTAAATATGAAAAATGTACTTACAGTCTGCGAGTCAGAACAGCCGGCATTGTAGTCTACTCTCCCAGGATCAGGAAACAGTCCTCCATAAAATGTGCTGCACACATCTGAATATTTGGGTTGAACTGTTCTGGAAAAGTGTTGTAAATACAACTTAACCACTGATTTCTAGTCGTATCCTCTTTTGGAAGACCAAACAAAGTAGTTTCGCTTTCACAACGAAACACAGCGCCTTCACGACATGGCGGCGGCAGCAACAACAATACTATAGCGAGAATAAAAGTTACGCCTTCTTTCTTTGCGTGAACATTTGGCCGGCGTTATGCAAATCTTCCCACATAGTGACGTAGACATGTGGGGGCGTGTTAGAACGAGGCGTTTTAGGTAGGCGTGGCTGACTCTTAACTTTTATAAAGAATATCTCTTTGGATTTGAGACTTTAGTCTTTGCAACTTTACAGATCTTCTTTATGCACCAAGAGCTTGTAACACTCCAAAGAGAAAGGAAACATTTAAATCGCGTCATATGACCCCTTTAAAATAATAATTTATTTCTGTGATCAAATCTGAATTTTCAGCATCATTACTCCAGTCTTCAGTGTCACATGATCCTTCAGAAATCATTCTAATATGCAGCTCAAGAAACATTTCTGATTAATATCAGTGTTGAAAACAGTTGTGCTGCCCAATATTTTTGTGGAAACCGTGATACATTTTATTTTTCAGGATTCTTTGATGAATTGAAAGTTCAAAAGAACAGCATTTATTTGACATAGAAAGCTTTTGTAACTTTATAAATGTCTTTTCTGTCACTTTTGATCAATTTAATGCATCCTTTATGAATAAAAGTATCAATTTCTTGGGGAAAAAATTATGTAACTGACAACATTTCTCCAAAAGTCAGTAGAACCGGAGGTTGAATCTGAATTATTCCTGCACTGTTTTTGTGTTCACGGTTTTCTAGTCAAATCTGGGATTTGGGTGTTTTAGGGTTTGTTTTGCACTATTCAGGTGTGACTTTGACGCGATGGACTGACTAGTTGAGCTCTACCACTGCTGCCCTTCGCTATTTAAAGTGTTTCCTGACGCTTTCTGCTCTCTCATATCATGCCTTTAGTGTTCTGCTGTGATTTTGTGAGATGTTCTGTGGATGAAAACAGACCCTGATGCTGAGATCATGTGGAGATTTGTGTCTGGTTAGGGTTGGGAATTGAGAAGCTGTTCTAAAAAACACTCTTAAAAATAAAGGTTCCAAAGGGGGTTTCTGCAGCAAAGCCTCAGAAGAACCATTTCTGGTTCCCCAAAGAACCTTCCAGTGAATTCTTAAAAGAACCTTTTTTCTTAGTGTGAAAAACATTTTCAAAGTTCTTCAAAGAACTTTTATTTTTAAGAGTGTAATGGAATTATATAAGACTATTGTTCTATTATTGTGTCATTAATGGTTCTTCATCTTATAAGCTATAGAATTGATTTGGTTTAATGGCTTACTCACTTTACTCACTTGCAGGTGTTTAGTCATGTTGGACTCTGAACTAACTCAACAGTACTAACAGAATCATGAAACATTTAAAGAAATAGTTCACCCAAAAATGAAAATTTGCTGAAAATGTCCTCACCCTCAGGCCATCCAAGATGTGGATGAGTTTGTTTCTTCATCAGATTTGGAGAAATGCAGCATTGCATCAGTGTCTCAGCAATGGATGCTCTGCAGTGAATGGGTGCCGTCAGAATGAGAGTCCAAACAGCTGATAAAAACATCACAATAATCCACAAGTAATCCACTGAACTCCAGTCCATCAGTTAATGTCTTGAGAAGACAAAAGAAACAATTCCATCATTAAGACGTTTAAACCCGTTGCTTCTGGCCATAATAACGCTTCCTCCAGTGAAAAAGTGCATCTCCTGTTGTCTCTCACATCAAAACCCAGCCACATATTTGTTTAGAGCTGTTTTGACTTGATCTGTGCAGATTTTTCTCCTGATTCAGACCAGAAGACTTTTACACTGGAGGAAGCGTTATTATGGAGTTTAGTTAAAAACGCGTTAATGCTGGATTTGTTTCAGCTTTTGTCTTCTCCAGATGTTAACTGATGGACTGGAGTGCTGTGGATTACTTGTGGATTATTGTGATGTTTTTATCAGCTGTTTGGACTCTCATTCTGACGGCACCCATTCACTGCAGAGCATCCATTGCTGAGACACTGATGCAATGCTACATTTCTCCAAATCTGATGAAGAAACAAACTCATCTGTACATCTTGGATGGCCTGAGGGTGAGCACATTTTCATTTTTGAGTGAACTACTACTTTAAGAAACCAGAACCAAAATGGAATCACAACCATTAAATTTCTAATGATTCCCTCCTCTACTGCTGGTCTTAAGTTCATAAATTAAAACTGGTTGCATTGACTCAACTTGAATGCCTTTTGAGATTAAACTTGCCTAACTAATCCAGTCTTCTTAAGTTAACTGGTCTTGGTAGATGCTTTTCGCCGCCGTCTCAACGATCATCCTGCAGTGGTGGTTTTCCAATGATGCTTCCCCCCTCCATTTTCTGTATTGTTTTGCTCAGAGTGAATCAAATAACTATGTGGAACCAGGGTCCTGCCTTGTCCCAGCTCAGTCGTTGCATCACTAGTTGAGTTGTCTGCTGCTAACTAACCAGGGTTGTCTCTCGGTAGAGCTATCCACACTATGTAGTCATTACACACGACAGAGCGGTAGGGTTCAGTGTGCTGTCTAACGTGGCTTCTTCTCTGCTCTCTAACGTGATTGTGATTTGCCCCTTAGTGAACTACTACTTTAAGAAACCAGAACCAAAATGGAATCACAACCATTAAATGTCTAATGATTCCCTCCTCTACTGCTGGTCTTAAGTTCATAAATTAAAACTGGTTGCATTGACTCAACTTGAATGCCTTTTGAGATTAAACTTGCCTAACTAATCCAGTCTTCTTAAGTTAACTGGTCTTGGTAGATGCTTTTCGCCGCCGTCTCAACGATCATCCTGCAGTGGTGGTTTTCCAATGATGCTTCCCCCCTCCATTTTCTGTATTGTTTTGCTCAGAGTGAATCAAATAACTATGTGGAACCAGGGTCCTGCCTTGTCCCAGCTCAGTCGTTGCATCACTAGTTGAGTTGTCTGCTGCTAACTAACCAGGGTTGTCTCTCGGTAGAGCTATCCACACTATGTAGTCATTACACACGACAGAGCGGTAGGGTTCAGTGTGCTGTCTAACGTGGCTTCTTCTCTGCTCTCTAACGTGATTGTGATTTGCCCCTTGCTGAGCTTCGCTGTGCCTCTCGCTGCACTCTGACCCTTTCCCTGTCACACGCACACATCCTGAACTCAAGTTCAAAGTCACATTTGAAATATCTTTAAGGTTAGAAAACTCATTTACTCACCCTCATGTTGGTCCAAAGCCATATGACTGACTTTCTTCTGTGGGACACTAAAGGAGACGTTTAGCAAAATGTTCATACTGCTTGTTCATATAGTGACTGACCTCAAGCTGTCAAGCTCCAAAAAAAGACCAAAAAACACCATAAAGGTCATTTTAAGGTCTTTATGATTATTGAGGACGTTTGCACAGTGTTTGGCTGGTTAGCATGAATAGTTAGTCCCTACTAGTAGATGCAGTAACTACACCAAAATGCATCTTTCTCCATTTACGGCCAGTTAAAAGTGGCTGTGCACTTTTTGCAAGCAGCATATTAATTGATAATATTTCATGGTATTATTGTAGATGTTTCACCAGTCTCCAGTTATTTATTAATGTTTTATATTTTTTTATATTATGTATATTTGCAACAATAAATCAATACATAATTATGTAATAGTGAAACATCTATATATTTTGTATATAAAAAAAATGTAGATGTGTCACTAGTGTACAATTATTTATTAATTGTAAAAAAATGTTTATTTGAGAATATATTTAAAAAAATGTATATAATACATTAAATAACTGGATACTATATGTACTATATGTACATGTAGATACTATATGTACTATAAGATGTTTAATTAGTATACAATTATTTACTTAAAGTATTTAATAATAATAATAATTTTTATTTTTTATATATATATATATATATATTATTATTTTTTTTAATAAATAATAATAATATTTTATTAACTGAATATACAGTGGTAGACAAAACTATTATAATATTAGTATTTTAATTAGCTAAAAAGTGGTTTTAAGTCAGTTATTTCTATCTTTTAGTTTGGGGCATTTAAAGTGTGGAAACTAAGTAAACAACAGCTTAGTATACAAAATACATTGGCTTCAGAATACATGGATGTAGTGCACAGATTGCATGGAGCACTTTTATTTATTTCAGTACTTTTTGGATCTTGACAGCTACTGGACACCATATGCTTTAAAAAAAAAAGCTTGGAAAACTTCTGACATGTTCCACATAAGAAATACAGCATGAGGGTGATGACAGAAGATGAATTTTTGGGTGAAACATTCCTTTTAAACAGGCAGTAGTTCTCAGTATATTCCAGGTTGAGGTTCAGACAGCCGGCTGATGACCCCATAATGTCTTCCTCTGATAATCTCATCCTATCAGGAGGATTGCTAGACTTATCCGACAGGGAAAGATGAGGATAATTAGATTCCAGAAGCACTAGGCTGAGACAGCGAGCTCAGTTTGGGGAGGGTTTTTTGGGGAGGGCAGTCGGGGGGGAAAGTCTAGTGCCAGGAAACAGGAAGTACTGAATTGTCTTTCTTGCAGGGATGTCAGCAGTCAGGAGTGGGAGGAAGGGGAGGAGTTTGAGTGTTACCCTCCTGGGATGAAGGTGCAGGTGAGGTATGGGCGAGGCCGCAATCAGAAGACGTACGAAGCCACTGTGAAAGAGTCAGACCTGGAGGGGGGAGAGGTGCGCTACCTGGTGCACTACTGTGGCTGGAACATCAGGTAAGGCAGGACCCTGGGAACTCACGCCTAATCTGTGTGCATTTACGAAAAACCTGGTCGCCCCAATCAGATTATGGTAATGGAGTCAGAAAGTCTGCAGGGATTGAGAGTTTTTAGTAGGCCAAAACCCAAAATCAAGCTTTTTAGCTCTTCCTTTTGCATTGCAATGAAGTCAGTGGGTTTTTGAATGGGTTTTTGGTTAAATGTCTGAAATAAGGCCAGTGGTGAACAAAAGCTCAAGACATGTTCACATTGTTTTTGTAAGCCAAAACCCAGAAACAAGGAATTTTAGCTCTTCTGGATCCATCGTCCTGAAGTCAATGGTTGTTTGGCAAAATGTCTGTAATAAGGTCAGTGGTGACCACAAGCTCAAGATATTTTCATGTTTTTGTAGGCCAAAACCTAAAAAAGTGTATTTTAGCGCTACCAATAGCATCGTCTCAAAGTCATTTTTTTATTTTTTTTAATGGGTTTTTGGTTAAATACCTGATATAAGGTTTGTCGTGAACATGATCTCAAGGTATTTTCACATTGTTTTTGTAGGCCAAAACCCAAAAACAAACATTTTAGCACTTCCATTTTCATCGTCCCAGTGTCATTGGGTTTTTTAGTGGGTTTTTGGGTAAAAGCCTGAAATAAGGTCTGTTGTAAATATAATCTAATTTTCACATTGTTTTTTAGGCCAAAACCCAGAAATAAGCATTTTAGCACTTCTGGTTCCATTGACTCAAAATAAGTGGGTTTTTGGTTAAATGTCTGAAATAAGGCCGCTGGTGAACAGTTTCACTCTCGACACAAACTGCATCAGTAATGCCACCTTGTGAGGTTTTTTAGAAGATTTTACAGTTGCTAACAAGTAGTTAAACGGCACTACAGAGGTTGTCGGGGACATTAAACGTCATCAAACGAACAGGAAAACTCATCTACTCGTGTTTATCTGGCAAACTATTCTAACTCAAACTTTCATTGAAAATGTTTTTAAAGAGTTGTCGAAACTCAATGATGGTGGTGTTGATGTCATGTGACTATGCTGTTGTTCGTTTATAGCCTACGTTTAGCTTTTTACTTCTGCTGATTGTGTTGAGGCTTAAAAATTTGCTCATTTGTGAAGATCAGCATGAGCAAAATGCGTGAGAATCAAACTCTTGTTGGTATTTTCTGCTATTATCCAAGAGCCAATGGAAAAATCCTATTGGGTTTTTGTCGGTGGAACTAGGTTGACGCTAACTTACAGGTCAGCCTACAAAAATACATCATTGCTGCTGCGCTGTATTGCTGCTTGATGGACACATCAAGTGACCGACCACAGCTTTTTTGGTTTTAACATGTAGAAATGTGTTTAAATAATCATTTCTGCCCATCCGAAAGTAATAAATATTAGGGATGCATGATATTATTGGACCGATATCGGAATCGGCCGATAATGGCTTTTAATGTAAATATCGGCATCGGCCCGATATGAAAAATTAAGCCGGTATGTCTTGCCGAAAAGAAGAATAGGTTAACTTGCATGTGCTCAGGGTGTGCTAGCGATTAGATCATGTCTGCAGTGTGACTCATTTTTGAAGCAAAGTTTTGCCTGAATGGTGATTGGATTCATTGTTTTGGATCACTGCATTTAAACTGAGAATGCAGTACAGAATGACTGGTTCAGTGTATGATAGAGTAAACGGTAATAGCACAAGTGCAGCGGCAGCCTCCCCCGGGTCCTAATGCCCGCTCAGTAATAAAGCAGTAATTGATGTCATAAAATCATGAGTATGTTTTGATTTAAAAGTCAAAAGCTATAGCTTACATTAATAAAAAAAATCACAAACATGACACTTGTAAATTAAATTGATTCATTAATGTGTAATATGTTTTTTTTCATGAAGCAAATTATGAGCTCTAAAAGATTTTCAGAAACTCTTGCTTTAGACCATTTACAAATGTTAAATCTTAAAATAAAATGTTAAGGTTACCACTGCATCTTTCTGAAAAAAGAAATGCAGCGATTGATATACAGTTTATTTATAGTTATTTTCAAAGCTTCAATGTACTGTCATTATAAAAGAACTTCATTATTGTTTATTTAATTCTACCAAATAAGTTCTTGTTAAAAACTAACCAAGATTAAAAATAATTGCTTATAATTGCCACACAGGAGAGACTTGGTGTTGTTTCCAAACAAAAGGAAATATATCGGCTATCGGCCAAAAAGAGTTGAAAAATATCGGCAAAAATCCAATATCATGCATCCCTAATAAATACTGATTGTTTCACAGATCTAAGTCCAAAAACAAAGCAGAATTTGCACTTCTGCTCATCGATATTTAGTTTACTACCAAGTTCCTTTCAGAGATTTGCACTAACCTGGAAAACGTGGTAATTTTTTGCAGTTACTTCTTCCTACGCATTTATAATATCAAACTGGTATTTTGTGAACTCGACTTGGTTTCCATCCTTGCCAGATTGAGGAGGTGCTTTCTAGTTTCACGTGTCGTCTTGTGGGAAATGTTCAGCTTAGTGATAGACTGATACAGCCTCTTATCATCTTTAAAGAATGTTTCTGGGTGGTTTATATAAATAAGTCAGGTGTGTATTTGATACTTGACACATTAAAGACTTTTTGACTTCTTTTCTGCATCTGAGAAGATGATCTGAGACGAATGGATCGTGAAAGTACGTTCACACTTGTAGTCATTTGTACTTAGCAGCAATGGCCGGTATGAGGAGGTGGATCACGCGAACTCAGGGTTCGATCCGTTAGCATTCCCATTCATCTCAAGGGCAGTTCTTTAGTTGCCATATGAAACCGAAGTACACAATCTTCTTCATTTTAGTTCTGAGTGTATGTTTTTTTCCTTCAACTCTCATTGAAAAGGTTGCTTTGCCATTGCAAATTGCTGTCAGTGTGAACAACCCTTAAAACTCGAACATGTCATCATGACATACTCAGGTTTTTCTTCTCAGACTTGGATTTGAGTGTGTGTTGTGTGGACATTTCTGACAAAAATAGCAGAGCAGCATCTTCTGAAGACCTTGTTGCAGCTTTTGCGCTTTACACTTGTCATGTTGTCTCTTTCGCAGCGTTTTATGTTTATGGTGCATTTATTCTCTTGATTGTGACTATATCTTGCAGTTGTGACTTGTGCAATGAAATATCTCATTATTTGTGCATTACATTTCGCATTTGCAACAAAAGAGAAAGTTTTGTGAGTTTTGGAGTTTTATGTTTGTGGTGCATTTGTTCTCTTGATTGTGAATTTATATCTTGCAGTTGTGACTTGTGCAATGTAATATCTCATTATTTGTATATGTGCATCTCGCAATTGCAACAAAAGAGAAAGTTTTGTGAGTTTTGGAGCCATATTATTTAGTAAATGTTGACCAATCTGCCTCTCTTAACAGGTATGACGAGTGGATCAAAGCCGATAAGATTGCCAGACCAGCCAATAAGAACGTCCCTAAAATAAAGCACCGCAAAAAAATAAAGGTACAGTCTGATTTCCTTAAGGAGATTTTCTTTTCTTTTTTTTTTGTTCAGCATACTTAAAAGTTAGCGGTCTGTAAGACTTTATAAAAATTTTAAATGTCTCTTATCTTCATCAAGGCTGCATTTATTTAATCAATAATACAGAAAAAATTCTCAAATATTTTTACAATTTCAAATAACTGTAAAATTAAAAAAGTTGTAAAATATTTTAAAATATAATTTATTGCTGTGATCAAAGCTGAATTTTCAGCATCATTACTCCAGTCTTCAGTGTAACATGATCCTTCAGAAATCATTCTAAGATGCTGATTTGCTGCACAAGAAACATTTCTGATTATTATCAATGTTGAAAACAGTTGTGCTGCTGAACATTTTACATTGATATATTTGATTATTACTTTGAACAGAAAGTTCAAGAAACAGCATATATTTGTGGTTTGATCAATTTAATGCATCCATGCTGAATAGAAGTATTAATTCCTTAAAAAAAAATCCAAATCCAAGTGTATTCTTTATGCATATTCATATTTAGAGAGGTTGCATTGTTAATTTGCTGTTTTTGTTTAATCACAGAATAAAGCAGAACAAGAAAGAGACCGAATAGAGAGACTGACAGACAGAGAGGATCTTCCTTCACCCAAAAATCGCATCAACCGATTGTCCAAACCAAACTCCGGCAGTGATGCTTTCTCCACGAAGGAGGAGTATGGCGATGAAGGAAGCCAGCAGACGCCTCTCAAGCCCATTGAGATCACATCCATTCTCAACGGCCTCCCAGGTACCTTTATATTCACACTGCTTAATTACAAGTCTTACTTGAAGGTGAAGTGTGCAATTTTTCAATGCTAAAATACATCAGAGTCACTATACGACAGTCATTAGTAATTTGACTTCCTAAAGAGTGTCAAAAAAAAAGTATAATATATGATTTAGGTACACAACATTGCACAAACAAAATGTTTCAACGCGATTGCAATGTGATTTTATACAATTGTAGTTCAATAAACAAGAAGTTAAAATTAAGCGACTTACATTTTAGACACAATATTGACTGTTTTTGCTCAATTTCGCTGATGAAAATAATTCCACTCAAAGCCACAGCAGAACTGTTTTGGGTCTCCGAGCAACACAGTGGTGTTTCGTTACTGAATGAATCCACGTTTTGAACAAATCAAGTGAATCAATGATTCAGTAACCCATTCATATGGTCTGTTTACACCTGGTCACTTCATGCGTTTTTTCTGATCGGATAGCTATCCGATTGTGAAAAGACCAGGTGTAAATGCCCTCCGAAACGCTTTCGAGACAGATCAACCCTCTACATTGCGAGTAATTCACTCGCATATGCGACTAAATCTTCACTCTGGGTGACTAAATGTTGTCTGATATTAGCCAATTGCTAATGAATTCTCAGATTTTACTCGTCAGTGTGTGAGTTGGAGGCTAAGAATAAGTTTAGCTCAGATATATTTCCACTCGCCGAACACACTCTGACTGAGCGCATCAGTTTCGCTCTCCGCCAAGCGATCCGTGCTGTTTTTCAGTTCATCTGAATGGATGTGCAACGCACCTGTATTTAATGGACTGTAAACTCTAGTGTGAAGGCGCACGACTCGCCGTCGCTTTGTTTCACACACACGCAGCGAGAGAGGGAGAGAGAGAATTGACGCACTACCTATGTGCGCTACATGTAAACGATATTCTTTGTTGTATTTTGCTGTCAAAATAACGGAGTTTCTTTGGAATTCTTCCGCTTTTAAGAACTACCGCTTTCTCCGCTAGTGGGTGGAGCTAATGCGCAAACGGCAATCTCATTGGCTGGTGCTCACCTACTATCGTCCCTGTTTTGATTTCAGCAAATCAGTTAGAGCGAACGCACACAACCTAATTAATATTCATGAATCCAGTAGCTCATTAATCCTCGGTGCATTTTTATATTGTTCTTATTAGTAGAATTCGTATCACTATTATCTTATCAGTATTTTTGTTAGTTTTTCCCCAATTTATTTTATTTTTTTTACAGTGCTGATGCTGCGCGCTCTCCTATTGCGGTCTTTGATCTTGAAATGAGCTAATAATTAATAAAATGCAGCGCTTATCTTTTGATTTCGTTGACG